TCGTGGAAACGGTCTGGGGGATGTCTATAATTGCTAATATTTCTTGATGCATTTAGCTTAGTCCTAATCCGATTAGCCCGTGTTCGTCCCATACTCCAGACCATTCCCTCTGCAAGTTTTTCTGAAGCTAGCCTCAAGCGTCTGGCCTCCAACTTTGAACTGATACACAAACATACATTCTCTTTAAATAAGTGAGGAATCCGGCGGTGCCCAAATCTCTCTCTCTCTCTCTCTCTCTCTCTCTCTCTCTCTCTCTCTCTCTCTCTCTCTCTCTCTCTCTCTCTCTCTCTCTCTCTCTCTCTCTCTCTCTCTCTCTCTCTCTCTCTCTCTCTCTCTCTCTCTCTCTCTCTCTCTCTCTCTCTCTCTCTCTCTCTCTCTCTCTCTCTCTCTCTCTCTCTCTCTCTCTCTCTCTCTCTCTCTCTCTCTCTCTCTCTCTCTCTCTCTCTCTCTCTCTCTCTCTCTCTCCCATTCTCTCAATTTTCTGCTCTTCTCTCCTTAGTCTTATTCTTCCTCTCTCCAATTTTCTTTACCTTTATCCCTCTCGTTCTCTCTTTCAGTGAGAAAAAAGTACTCTAGTAATGTTGAATCAACTATAGCGACTTGATTCAACGTCGATAGAAACTGGATTTTTTTTGTTAGCTCTCAAAGGAGTATCAAAGTCCCCTTTCAGACTTCATAGGAGTCGTTGGTAATCGCATTAGAAGCCAATCCTGCCTCAAGAGTGTCACGTGGGTCTACCCCCTCCCCTCTATAACATTCTCCATACGCTATAGACTCTAATCTTGGACAGAGAAACCGACTGTCTGACTGTCTATCCAAGTGCTTGCCTGTAACCTTGGACAGGGAGTCATAGTGCCTGACTATCTCTCCAAGAGCTTGACTTTAACCTTGGACAGGGAATCAGACTGTCTGACTGTCTATCCAAGTGGTGCCCAATCGCTTGGGCTGAACGGTAGAGCGATGGTCTCGTTTAATGCAGGTCGGCGTTCAGTTCACGACCGTCCAAGTGGTTGGCCATCATTTCTTCCAACCGTCCAATTACAAATCCTTATCCTCATCCCATCCAAGTGCTATATAACCATAATAGCTTGGCGCTTTCTCCTGATAGTTCCTTTCCTTCCTTGAGCATCGTATGTAAACATCAGCACACAGACTCCAACATCCTGTCTATTACTCTCATGTTCCATGAACAATTTGTTACTCAATTAAACAGCGTAATTGTTACCCAACTCGTTTATCAGGTACTGTTTCTTCTTGTGTTGTACAATGACGAAAGCGTAGTGATAGACAAGGAAGATTTAGCAGACGCGTCCCTTGCGTGCTTGCTTGTTCACCATCACAGAGTCGTAGACCTTCAAGCATGTTAGTTAGGCACGAGATTAGGACATGCTTTAGGGTGGTGGTCAATTTCATTTACTCGTGGGTTGTCTTTGTGTAGTTAACAATGTGTGAATGTGCATGTGTGTGATTGCGTTTACGGATTTATGCGTGTAAAGGAACTCAAATGTTGGGTAGAACAAATATAGAACATACACATAATCCGTCACTTGCTTCCCTTTTCATATCGCATGCTTAAGACTGTTCGGTATAAGAAAACAATACTCACCAAAGAAAGTGGAAAGTTAGCTTCTCAGCTTGTACACTGTGACACCGGATCGTGGGTGTTATTTTTCACTGGTCGATCAGTAATGCGCCCCAAGGAGCAGTTGTGCGCGGAGAGAGTCCTAAGTGGGCTTGTCTCGCCAAGGCAAAAGACTCACGAGGGAGCTTTATGATCGAACATTGACGTCACTGAGAGGGCGTGCCCGAGAAGGGAGACATGGGATGGAGTGTTACGGAGTGGGGGAGAGAGGAAAAGGTGATGGAAAAGGGAAAAAATAGTAAAGGTGGATGACGAGTACTGAATATGGGCAAGTATTTAGGTGCTTGATGTATTTGTTGCACTTTTGTCCAGTGGTGATGTGGAGAATAATGTGACCCTGGTTTATGGTAGTAATTTGTGTGATTGTGCGGTGAGGTTGTGAGGGTGTTTGGGCTCCCTCGAGGTGGAGACGTGGAGGTGGGGGGTCTTGGGTTACCATGTGTTGTGATGTGGAGAGGTTGTGGTTGTGTGGTGACCTTGTTGTGCGGTGATGTTCAGCAGACACGTCATGATGAGAGGGTCATCTTGCTGCAGGTAGAACATCATGCTCCGTGGATATGTCAGTGGAGGAGTTGGCTGCGCTCGTTACCACTTTCCGACACAACAGGAAATTTGGTGAACCTTCTGTTACACTGTCTTCATGGGTATGAAAACACACCTGGGCATGAACAAGCACAACCATGTGTTTCTTAATTTACTTAAGAATTTGGTGTTTCGCATTTGGTTCTTGCAGTTTCCAGAGAAGCTGAGTACATTTTGTTCTTATCTGCTGTACTTCAGCTCCTGGGCACCGCTTTATTGCCATCGTTGGACTGGAGTTACAGTCGCCACCTATATCTTTCTCCAGTTGCTATATTATTCTACATAACTGTAACAGCTTAGAGCTTTTTCCTGATAATTACCTTACCTTGCTCATTATTACGCAGCCGCTTGGGCTGGACGGTAGAGCGACGGTCTCGCTCCTTGTAGGATGGCGTCTCCCCGTCTCATCCCAAATCCTTATCCTGTTCCATTCGAAGTACTATGTAGTCGTAATGACTTGGCGCTCTCTCCTGATAGTTCCCTTGCTCATTATTAGCTCACCGAAGAATTATTTTATATATCTCTTTATGACTGATCTCTTATTTATGTAAAACAAATGTCTGACTGCCCAACGTTGAGAGCCAGACGCTTGGGGCTAGACTCATCTAGCGTTGTGGAGTGACTGGACGTTGTTGTGGGGATGGTCATAGTGGGGGGGGGGGTCAGCCCCCATGTTTCCCTCCTGGAACCAATATGTAAATACTGCCTGGATGGGGTACCCTATGGTGTCTGGGTAGTGAAGATGGCAACGGTGATAGAGAGTGGAGTGAGGATGGTTGCTCTGATGAAGGAAGCAACGGTGTTGAACATTGTGTTTAGGGGTTACAGTGATGAAGATTATGTTCAGTGGTTACAGTAATGTCTTTGTAAGCATCTGGCTGGCCCACTAAGTGTTACTCGATCTGTTTTACTTTGGCGGAGTATGAGTATTTATGACTCGTATGTTCGCTTCAGTAAAATTATGCTATATTTTAGCTGAAATCTGATATGGTTTTGTAACTCTGCAATGTTAGATAATTTTCCCAGAGTCTGTCGGGCATTTCTCCACAGTGATGTGTGTTCTCATCATCTGGAACCTGTAAGCCTATTTCCCATGTACATGGGTATCGAAGCCTGATGCGACGTAAGTGTACTTCTGTTGCTCTACTGCTACCTTTCATCAAACTAAGTTGTTCGTAGTTGGTTGAATTCTTGTACCAATCCGCAGAGCCTGATGATACAGTCACTGTACATCTTCTGCATTGCTCTATCTCTAATTATTTGCTTAACCTGTGTGGTATATAAAGGTCTACATATATTATCTTAGTTGCAAGTTTTTCAACTTCTGCAATGACATTCCCTATTATTCCTCCATGACCTGACACCCGGTTGATAAGTATAACGACGTCATTGACGTTTGAGTTATTGCATAAGTGCTCTGGTATTTGTGGTCAGATGGATGCTGTTGTTGTTCAGCAAAAACATATTCCAAAGCCTTTTGAATGGCTAGCATCTTTGTAAAGTTGAACACCTAATTGTGAGTCTCCAACTACAGAATTTCCTGCCTGAGCTGCAGCTAATGCAGCTCAGGATTCTGGTCCCTGCTGGCCTACTGCTGTCAGATACCACGTTTGGAAGCTCTTCTCCTCCGAGTTAATGCTCCATTGGTTATATCTTTAAGTGAACTGATTTTTGGACTAGTTAATATATTGGTCAGCATTCTAGCAGCAAGCTCTTTTACCCTTATCTTGAGGTTATCTTCTGATGATTTCGTGACTTAGTGTCCCCGCGGCCCGGTCCTCGACCAAGCCTCCACCCCCAGGAAGCAGCCCGTAGCAGCTGTCTAGCTCCCAGGTACCTATTTACTGATGGGTAACAGGGGCATCAGGGTGAAAGTGCCCATTTGTCTCCGCCTCCACCGGGGATCGAACCCGGAACCTCTGGACTACGAATCCTCAGCAATAAATAATCTGGGAGGATAATAAATAATATGGGATAAATTATCCCTTATTTCGACCGATGTTAGTTTGGTTTCTAGTGTTAGGTTAGTATTTATGCCCCGTGTGGGAGCTCCTGTTATGACTCGCATTGCATCGTTTTAATACCCTCAACTCTTGCCCACTGGCCGGGAAAAAGAGATAGTAAGGCCGGGGCCTCATAATCAACAAGGTCAGCGTATATGTAAAACATTTTTAATACTGTGTCCCACTCCTAGAAGCGGCCCTGTTATCGCTCTCGTTATACTCGGTCGTGATTTTGCTTTCTCCATCGGATATTGAATTTGCTGTTGAATGTCATTTTAGAACTTATCCATACTCCAAGGTATTGGTATTGCGCAACCCACTGAAGGTTAATGTCTTGAATGCCTGTCTGGAGTGTTGCCTCCTAGTCTCATTGTTTTAGATTTATGGGCAGACACTTTTAGCCTGAAAATGATGCATTCAGATGTTACTTTAACGCCACTTGTACTTTATATGACCTGTGACGACTAATGTTATATCATCAATATAGCTTAGTAATTTTACCTTTAAACCTCATAACGGTTAAACGGGAAAGTTGTTATGATGAAGGTTGTAGATTAGGGTACTTAGGTTGTGAAGATTGTTACATTGAAGATATTTAAAAAAAAATTTAAATGGTTTCAGTGATGAATATAGTGAATATGCAGATTTTTGCAGTGATGAAGATAGTGTGTAGCGAAGATGTGACCACCATCACCCGAGCACCTCCAAATTTTAATAATGAACATACCATATTACATACATAAAAAAAATAATGAAATTGATCACATAAAAAATAGTAATGAAATTGATCACGATCACGCGTCCTTCACATCATCCTCGTCTCTTTTCTGCCTTAACATTTTCTTGTGCTCGTAGATGATGTCTTGTATTCTGGCCTCGGCGATGGCCACATCTTGCTGACGTCCCTTAATCTCCACCCACGCGGTCGACCTCTCCACCCGAGGAATCGTGATAATCACGTTATACGTCATCATGATTTCCCGGTGAGTTTCCCCGCCAGGGCCTACCACCACCTTCATCATGTCCAGGGGCAGAGGCACCAGCTCCTCCACCCTCAAATCCTGCCATGATGCTTCCGATGTTATCTCGCCGCCCGTCTCCTCACACTGACGGAAGGGATCATCATCAAAATCATGGCCTGGTTCATTATCATCATCGTAACCTGGTTCATTGTCATAATCATGGTCTGGTTCATCATCAAAATCATGGCCTGGTTCATCATCAGTCCCATGTGTTATAGAGGGACTTTCCTCACATTTCGATGGTTCATTCAGGGTTTTAGGCCGTTGATCCAGGGTTATGGCTAGACAATAACTAGGGCCAGAGTCAGCATCATGGTCTGGTTCACCCTCAGCATCATGGTCTGGTTCACCCTCAGCATCATGGTCTGGTTCACCCTCAGCATCATGGTCTGGTTCACCCTCAGCATCATGGTCTGGTTCACCCTCAGCATCATGGTCTGGTTCACCCTCAGCATCATGGTCTGGTTCACCCTCAGCATCATGGTCTGGTTCACCCTCAGCATCATGGTCTGGTTCACCCTCAGCATCATGGTCTGGTTCACCCTCAGCATCATGGTCTGGTTCACCCTCAGCATCATGGTCTGGTTCACCCTCAGCATCATGGTCTGGTTCACCCTCAGCATCATGGTCTGGTTCACCCTCAGCATCATGGTCAGGTTCACCCTCAGCATCATGGTCTGGTTCACCCTCAGCATCATGGTCTAGTTCACCCTCAGCATCATGGTCTGGTTCACCCTCAGCATCATGGTCTGGTTCACCCTCAGCATCATGGTCTGGTTCACCCTCAGCACCATGGTCTGGTTCACCCTCAGCATCATGGTCTGGTTCACCCTCAGCATCATGGTCTGGTTCACCCTCAGCATCATGGTCTGGTTCACCCTCAGCATCATGGTCTGGTTCACCCTCAGCACCATGGTCTGGTTCACCCTCAGCATCATGGTCTGGTTCACCCTCAGCATCATGGTCTGGTTCACCCTCAGCATCATGGTCTGGTTCACCCTCAGCATCATGGTCTGGTTCACCCTCAGCATCATGGTCTGGTTCACCCTCAGCATCATGGTCTGGTTCACCCTCAGCATCATGGTCTGGTTCACCCTCAGCATCATGGTCTGCTTCACCCTCAGCATCATGGTCTGGTTCACCCTAAGCATCATGGTCTGGTTCATCCTCAGCATCATGGTCTGGATCATCCTCAGCATTATGGTCTTGTTCATCATCAGCATCCTGGCCTGGTTCAGCATCTTCACCATCGCCTGGTTCAGCATCAGAGCTTGGTTCACCATCATCATCTGGTTCAGCAACCGGGCCGTTATCATGACTTGCCACTCCGTAACAAATCCAGCCTCCTAACCTAACCAGAAAAGTCCGAACCCAAGCCAGCCACCTGACGAATCGATCCTGAGAAAACAATAGCGTAAGAAAGTTGAGTTTGCTGGTTGCTGCCTCATCAGTGTTGGTTACTGCCTCTCCAACACCGGGTAGAGCCTCTCCAACGCCGGGTAGAGCCTCTCCAGCGCCGGGTAGAGCCTATCCAACGCCGGGTAGAGCCTATCCAACGCCGGGTAGAGCCTATCCAACGCCGGGTAGAGCCTCTCCAACGCCGGGTAGAGCCTCTCCAACGCCGGGTAGAGCCTCTCCAACGCCGGGTACAGCCTCTCCAACGCCGGGTACAGAGTATCCAAGGCCGGTTTCAGTAGTGCTGTCCTATAGAGGAAGGGCCTTCCCTCTCTGCTCAACATCGCAGTCCTTCAGATGCTAAAACATCGTCCACAAGATATTCGTCACCAAGATCAAGAACAAAATTATTACGAGGAAATCGAACATTATTTTATTTTAATAAGGTAATATTTATAATTATATTAACTTTTATGCGTTCGATGTTTATCACAGAAAGGGAGTTGAAGAGTGACAGAGTGTGGGACACGCAGACCTCGGTCCACTGAGTGGGGCTCAAGAGCCGATGATTGACCCTGCAAGCACATCCGGGTGAGCACACACACACACACACACACACACACACACACACACACACACACACACACACACACACACACACACACACACACACACACACACACACACACACACAAATTCTTCAGGAGTCAGAGAAAGAAAAAGACTTGGGGGTTGATATCACGCCAGACCTGTCTCCGGCAGCCCATATCAAGAGGATAACATCAGCGGCATATGCCAGGCTGGCCAACATACGAACGGCATTCAGAAACTTGTGTAAAGAATCATTCAGAACTTTGTATACCACATATGTCAGACCAATCCTGGAGTATGCAGCACCAGCATGGAGTTCATATCTAATGAAGGATAAGACTAAACTGGAAAAGGTTCAAAGGTTTGCCACCAGACTAGTACCCGAGCTGAGAGGTATGAGCTACGAGGAGAGACTACTAGAATTAAACCTCACTTCGTTGGAAGACAGAAGAGTTAGGGGGGGACATGATTACCACATTCAAGATTCTGAAGGGAATTGATAGGGTAGATAAAGACAGGCTATTTAACACAAGGGGCACACGCACTAAGGGACGTAGGTGGAAACTGAGTGCCCAAATGAGCCACAGAGATATTAGAAAGAACTTTTTAGTGTCAGAGTGATTGACAAATGGAATGCATTAGGAAGTGATGTGGTGGATGCTGACTCCATACACAGTTTCAAGTGTAGATATGATAGAGCCCAATAGGCTCAGGAACCAGTACACCTGTTGATTGACGGTTGAGAGGCGGGACCAAAGAGCCAGAGCTCAACCACCGCAAGCACAACTAGGTGAGTACACACACACACACCTATCAGGAGAAAGCCCCAAGCCATTACGACTATATAGCACTAGGAAAGGGGGTCAGGATACACACACAGTAGGGGTCAAGAATCTGTACACCATTTTATTGACGCTTGACAGGCGGAACAAAGAGCCAAACCTCAACCCCCGCAAGCACAAGTAGGTGAGTACAACTAGGTGAGTAAACACACACACACACACACACACACACACACACACACACACACACACACACACACACACACACACACACACACGGAAGACGGGGGACCTACCAGAAATATGGAAGATGACTAATGTGGTCCCAATATACAAAAAAGGTGGCAGACAAGAGGCACTGAACTACAGGCCAGTGTCCTTAATTTGTATATCATGCAAGGTCATGGAGAAGATCGTGAGACAAAACCTAGTAGCACATCTGGTGAGATAGGACTTCGTGACCCACCACCAACATGGGTTAAGGGATGGTAAATCTTGCTTCACAGGTTTATTAGAATTCTACGATCAGGTGACAAAGATTAAGACAGAGAAGGTTGGGCAGACTGCATCATCGAGGACTGTCGGAAAGCCTCGACACAGTACCCCATAAGAGGCTGGTGCATAAGTTGGAGAAACAAGCAAGAGTAACTCGCAAGGTGCTCCAATGGATCAGGGACTACCTAAGCAATAGGAAGCAGAGAGTTACTGTGAGGGGTGAGACCTCAGGTTAGCGTGAAGTCACCAGTGGAGTCCCACAGGGCTCTGTACTCGGACCTATCCTGTTTCTTCTATACGTATATGATCTCCCAGAGGATATAGACTCTTTCCTCTCAATGTTTGCTGATGATGCCAAAATTATGAGAAGAGTGGGACAGAGGAGGGAAGCCTGTGGCATCAAGAAGACCAGTACAAACTGAAGGAATGGTCCAACAAATGGTTGTTAGAGTTTAACCTGAACAAATGTAATGTAATGAAGATAGGTGTAGGATAGGAAGCCGGAGGCCAGATACAAGGTATCATTTGGGAGATAAAATGCTTTTAGAATCAGAGGGAGAGAAAGACCTGGGGGTTGATATCATGCCAGACCTGTTCCGTAAAGAGGAACAGGTAAACTCATCAAGAAGATAATCATCAAGTATCATCAACAAGATAACCTCAGAGGCATATGCCAGGTTGGCCAACATAAGAATGGCCTTTAGAAACTTGTGTAAGGCCTCACTTAGAACTTTGTAGACCAAATATGTCTGATATTATGACCCCAGGTGTCCTGAAGAACGAGTCTACCTCTCAGAGTTATACCACCCACCAGACCTAATTGAGAGGTCAGAGAAAGAATATATATATATATATATATATATATATATATATATATATATATATATATATATATATATATATATATATATATATATATATATATATATATATATATATATATATATATATACGATATATATATATATATATATATATATATATATATATATATACGATATATATATATATATATATATATATATATATATATATATATATATATATATATATATATATATATATATATATATATATATATATATATATATATATATATATATATATATATATATATGTTTTACCTACGAAATAAATGTCGGTGACTAATTTTATAATATGAGCCTAGGATGAGCATGTGAACAAGTGACATGAAATGAGATGTCGATATTATGCTGACATGATGTGAGGCTCGCGAGAATGTCTTGACCTTTACTTGAGCAAATGACGTCGTGAGAGAGGGTCGTGCTTGGCTGAGTTCCTGACAAAGGAGAAACCCCTTGCTGTGTGCTCCTATAAGAGGACGTAATCAAGCAGGCATTTATGTGTGAAGCTTGAGGACGGCTTAAAGTGCTCAAGACAGGACTAGAAGAAGCCTTGTGAGGCAGTCCTATAGCAATTTTGTGGGCGACTTGTGGGAGCGCCATTGTGAGGACAGGACCTGAGCGCCCTCGAGACACAGACTCTGCGGTAAGCTACTGCAACAGTTGTTGCTGTGGTTGCCAGTGTTTGATCTTGTGCCCAGCGATCATGGCAAGTGTTTATGTATATAGTATAGATATTTTATTAAGCCAGTAAACTGAAATAAGAGAGTAGAGATAGGAGAACATCTTGGAGGGAGAAGTGATACGTCGTCCCTCGACGAAGGTCAGTAGTTTACTGAGGGTGGAAGCCCCGGCTGCCGGCGGCGGCAAGCAGCATGTCTCGAACACGTTGAAGATAGACTCGCCCAGGGTGGGGGAAGACCGTTGCGGCGACGCAGTAGTTTTAAAGAGATGTCGGATGGAGGAGTTTTACTTTTGTGAATATATTTATTTGTTTTAGTAGGGAAGCATTTTTATTGGCATGGCAATGGAATTGCAGGTTTGTTTGGGGAGGAGTTGATAGAAGAACTTCGAGGCTGGGGAAGTGTATGCTGAAATCTGTGGGAGAGCAGAACTCCATAGTGAGGAGCTGACCTGAAGTAGTGTAAAGGAGCAGTGAAGAGAAGTTTCCTATGTCACCGTGGAATCAGTGGTGAAGCATCACTGGTGTTTGAAGAGGACTTCATTGTGCAGCAGTTTTGGGATAACTGCAGAAGAGCCTTTTGAGTATTTTGGAGGACCTAGAGATATATATGGTAGTGAACCTCCGGGAGCAGAGCAGAGGTTTATGGTGGATACACAGGAATGTATAAGGGAAGTGCTTGAATGTTTATTGGCGTGTAAGACGCAGTGTAAGGTGGGAGATTGACTGCTTCTTGTGTCGGGGAATATTTATACAGATGTTTCTGGTGTTTCAGCCACAGGCTGAGTTTATATAGTTTTAGAGCTGAGTTTATATAGTTTTAGGGCTGAGTTTATATAGTTTTAGGGCTGAGTTTATATAGTTTTAGGGCTGAGTGTATAATATTGTTATCACGAGATTACAACCCCATTTAGTGAGGGAGTAGTAGGTGATAAGCCAATAGTTGAGCAGCTACTTGATAAGGACAGCTGGTGAAGCCAGGGTGTGATTTTGGATTGCTACTGGTTTGTAATAGCTTAGAGTATTGTATAATACGATTTTACAGTTTTTATTTCATGTATTGTGTATATTTTTTTCGTTTATTAAATGTGTATTGTTAGTTGGCTTTTGCTCTTGTTCTGGTGAGGCTTCACAGAAAGCAGGAGAGAGAGAGAGAGAGAGAGAAAGAGAGAGAGAGAGAGAGAGAGAAAGAGAAAGGATCACAGCTGCAGACAGGGTGGCAGAGAGTACTAATTCGAAAAGGGGGGATTTAAGAGATCATACCAAATAAGGAGAGAGTGGGGAGTCATGGTGGCTCAAGTAGGGTGGGTACACTGGACAACGAGGCCAGTGTTG